ATACCTAGTTTATACATGTGCCCTCTTAGCCTACAGTGGCCGGTCAAAAATCCTGTAATTACCCTCAGTTTGTCCTTTGGAAAATGCATGAGTAGCCTGTATCTTGTCAGATTGTAACCTCCTAATAAGCTTTTAGCCTGACGCTGACCCATGGTGTCACGCCAATGCAGTTCCCTCAATTTTCTAATGTCCCTTCTGAGCATATCCTTTATAGTACTTGGTCCCACTGCCAGAAAGGGCTCAGGTCCTATCGGGGCCGAGGAAGCAGCTAATCTGGCCAGGTGATCAGCCTCCTCATTTCCTGCCACCCCGTGTGCCCTGGTACCCACATTAGTTGGATATCATTGACCTCCGCCAGAGCATTAAGCCTCTCTACACATTCCAAAACCAAGGAGGACCTGATCTCGAATGATGAGAGAGCCATAAGTGCCGCCTGACTATCACTTTGTATAAGTATCCTTTCATTCCTATAATTCCTACTCATGTTGATCTCAGCGCACAAACCGATGGCATAGACCTCCGCTTGAAAGATGCTTGGGAAGGTTCCCAGGGGCACCGAAAGCTTCAGCCTGGGGCCGTACACGCCTGCTCCAATCCCCGCAGGTGTTTTGTAGCCGTCAGTGTACCACTGTATTGTGCTCGCCTGTATGTGCCTTTCCATAATAGAGGCACACCAGGTCACCTTGCTGTAAGTGTAAGTCCTGAAATTCCTTTTGAAGATAACCTGTCTGTTGATATCGTCTCTGGGGAAAAGAGCCAGGGGGAGCTGGGTACCTAGCTTGTCCCTGTTCCTAGATGATACCACCTTGCCTTTGCCGAAGCCCTCCCTAGCAAAGTTGAGGAGGGTTCGCTTTGCAACCTGTTCAACTAAGAGGTGCAGTGGCTCGAGTTCCAGCATTACCTCTAGCGCTGCCGTCGGGCATGTGCGCATTGCTCCCGTAATGCACACACATGCCAAACGCTGAAGCTTAGAGAGGGTCTGCCTCACCTTTACTAAAGTGGTCCTGGAATGCCAAGCCACCGCACCGTACGTTACTGTAGGTCTCACTATCATGGTGTACAACCATCTGAGGATCCTCGGAGTGCGCCCCCAGGATTTTCCCGCCAGACGTTTGCACACCATAATCGCCCTGGTGGCCTTGGAGGTGACCGCATCAACATGGGTCTTCCACAGAAGCTTGGAATCCAGGGTGTTTTTACTTAGGGTAGCAGAGTTGAGCGTAGGGTGTGTACGAGACCTTTGA